AACTTCTCCATGACCATCAGTTGCTTCAGGTCAGCATAAGATCCAACTCCAGCAGCCTCAATCCACTTCTGGAATCGTCTTTCCAGATCTCTTGCTGTCTCAGCAAACGTACATGCTCCAACTTTGCTCATCTCTCTGAAGCGCTTTCTATAAGCTTCTGGGGTTAACTGAAACGAGCGCAATATGCTGCTCTTTACAGTGGCATAATCCTGGCACTCTTCCAGTGACAATTGGGTGTATGCCTCCCTGGCTGCACCGGTCAATCTTAACTGGACCAGCTGGGCCCATTCCTCCTGTGGCCACTCCTTGATACTGGCTACTTTCTCAAAATGCTCGAAGAAGCTCTCTGCCTCTTCGGGCACAAACAAGGGAATGTCCTTCTCCCTAACCCTAACCTCTGGTGGGTGTGATACCTGGGTGGTGCTCTCTGGCAACCCATGTTCAATCCTCTGCTCAGCCAAGGTTCTATTCGCTTCTATCTGCATTTGTTTTGTTCTCTCTTTTTCTTTTTCGACCTGGGCTTTTTCTTTTTCGACCTGGGCTTTTTCTTTTTCGACCTCTAGTCTTGCTTTCTCTTTTTCTTTCTCCTGTTCCAACTCCAGTTCTCTTACTCTGGTTTTCTCTTTTTCTACTTCCAGTCTGGTTTTCTCTTTTTCTACTTCCAGCCTGGTTTTCTCTTTTTCCTTCTCGGCTTCATTTTTCATCTGGAGTTCTAATTTCATCTTTTCCAGCTGGAACTGTCTCTCCTCACGCTGTTGTTGGATCTGGAGCTCTAACTGGAATCTCTCCAAGCTCCTATTTCGGCTACTCCTACTACTGCAGCTACTCTTGCTGCTCCTACTCGATCCCTGGGATCTCACGTCATCCTGCCCATCATCCTCCTTTCTACTTTCAGCTCCTTCCTAGGCTCCTTGTTCTGCCGCTTCACTTCTGGCTCTCAACTGCCTCAGGATCTCATCCTTCATCCCAGCTACTTTAGATGCTTTCAACCTGATGCCACATTTTTCTGCTATTTGTTTCAATTGATCCCTCGTGCAACCTTCCAAGTCCTCAGGCTTGCCTGACTCCACAAATGCTTGCACCTTATCCATCTTTGTCCTGTGAGTCTTCCCAAGAGAGAGAGTATACACCTGCGGTCACACAGTTTATCTCAGCAGGGGTGTACAAATCCACTCTTGGACAGGGTGTGGGTGTGTCAGTTCACTCTCCCGGACACAGGCCCCCAATTTATTATAGACTGTGGGTTGGTTGGTGTTGTCGTCGTTGATCCTTCTCTACGGACAACCCAACCCACAACTCGGTAGAGTGCTTACACTTCACTAGGAGATCACACTTGGCGCTTCTGGCTCTTGGAGAGGGGCTCAACGTCACACGTTTAGGGGATGCGGCTCCAACACTTAGCCTCGTTGTCACGTGCACACACCCACTCGAGCCGCTGTGACTCCCCACTCTCTCCTTATGAAATACGATCTCCTCAATCCCCTATGACTTACTAGTATTACCTCTTACCCTGTCCACAGCAGTGGTTCTTGGTTCTTTCTCTCTCTCTCTCCTTCTTCACTACTTCCTGGGAAGCCTCACTAGGACAAGGGCAAACACCAGCAAATTGTGACACATTTACTGAACAAAGCACATAGACGATACATACACACATATAATAATAATGAATCCTATACTCTATAATATCACAATCAGGTTGCACTCCAATACCATCAGAACTCTATTATCAGCTATCAAGTGGTATCCTATCTCCTGATTCACCACCTGATACTATTAACCTCCTCAAGTTGGTCAAGTCTACATACACTGTTGCACCATCAGCAAGATAACATATATATACAGAAAATCAGCATTTGAATGCAATAACATATACCAGTATAAATGTTCATTGATACTTCAGTATAAAAAAACTCCTTGACGTAAGAATGCCAACAGTCACTCACCTCTCACTGCGTCTTGCACGCTACTGACAACCAAACACTATCAACTCCCTACAAGTAATCCACCAGAACTTCCCCTTCCACCTCTGGAAGTTCACTACCCTAATATCTTTAGGTTCTGCCGGGCTTCACTACCAGGATCCTCTGCAGCTCCTCCAGGCTGCTATCATGAAGTTTCCTTGTGCAACTACGGTGCTTCACCCTTCTGTTAGGTTCTTCCACAGCTCTCTTGGCTGCTACACCACCTCTACAGAAGCACGTGACAATCCTCTTCACTGCTGCTTCTCCTCACAGCTCGAGGTCCTCTGCTCCACTACCTTGGAGTCTCATCAGCTACATCATCTGCTGGCTTCGAAGTTCTCAGCAACTTCTTCCCCAAAAGAACAAACCTGCAACCCATCGACGTTCCAATAAAATGTTCCCCTTTAACACATAAACAAAAATAACCACACAATATGCTTGCCTCAAACCTCTATCTGTCCTCTACATACAGTGAGAGTGGACTCCCCCGTTTTGGGCGGGTCCATACTCCACCTCGCCTGGCGGCGGTCCTCACTCGCTGGGAGGGTCTTCCTACATCCGGAGCCAGGCTCCCTCAGTCGTCCGCCAGCGCTCAGAGGGGACGGACGTCGCTCCGTGTTCCTCCCTCTCCACTCTCTTATTTCAGGCTTTCTGCCTTATTAAAACATGTCTAACTTATAAATAAACATTGCTACTGTCGCTGGGCACACGACCAACTACAAGTGATCACTATGAACTGGCGTATATCGTGCTTACCACAGATTAATTGGTCGAGGGCGCTTTCCCTCTGACGGCGTCTGGTCAGGGCGCTCCCACGGCCCACAATAATGCCTCCGGGCGGCTTAATATTCACTAATTATCGTCCACGACTTGAGACCACACGTCCCCAGCTCGATTCCACAGCTGGCACGTCTGCACACTTCTCTTCTCTTAGAGATATATCACTAGGGGTTCCCTTCTGAAGGGAGCTCAACGGAGCGCGGCTTCCCCCTGCGATGTCTGGCACTCAAGTGAGGTCAAGGTCCTCCGGAAGCGAGCCTCACGCCTCCAGCAAAATGTCCACATCTCCTAGCCCGTCATTTATCTGTTTTCTTCTTCATTGCCCATAATCTCAAATTGTTTTACATATCCAACCAGCCATTTTTCATATGGGTTATCACCTCAATATTCGCTAGACCTTCTAATCAGGTCAGGCTTGACGAATAACTCTCATGAAGGGAGACTCGTTTCTCCTGCAGGCTGAGATCATAACAACAGACACACACAGCATAACTATCAGACATTGACACACACAGCATATCTCTCAGACATAGACACACACAGCATAACTCTCAGACATTGACACACACACAGCATAACTCTCAGACACAGACTCACACAGCATAACTCTCAGACACAGAAACACACAGCATAACTATCAGACACAGACACACACAGCATAACTATCAGACACAGACACACACAGCATAACTCTCAGACATAGACACACACACAGCATAACTCTCAAACACAGACACATACAGCATAACTCTCAGACACAGACACACAGAGCATAACTCTCAGACATAGACACATACAGCATATATCTCAGACACAGACACATACAGCATAACTCTCAGACACAGACACATACAGCATAACTCTCAGACATAGACACACACAGCATAACTCTCAGACACAGACACACACAGCATATCTCTCAGACACAGACACACACATCATAACTATCAGACACAGACACACACCAGAGCTCAACCCCCGCAAACACAACTAGGTGAGTACAACTAGGTGAGTACACAGCATATCTCTAAGACATAGACACACACAGCATAACTCTCAGACACAGACACACACAGCATAACTCTCAGACATAGACACACACAGCATATCTCTCAGACACAGACACACACACAGCATAACTCTCAGACACAGACACACACAGCATATCTCTCAGACATAGACACACACAGCATAACTCTCAGACATAGACACACACAGCATAACTCTCAGACATAGACACACACAGCATATCTCTCAGACACAGACACACACAGCATAACTCTCAGACATAAACACACACAGCATAACTCTCAGACATAGACACACACACAGCATAACTCTCAGACATACACACACACAGCATAACTCTCAGACATAGACACACACAGCATATCTCACAAAGACACACACAGCATAACTCTCAGACATAAACACACACAGCATAACTCTCAGACATAGACACACACACAGCATAACTCTCAGACATAGACACACACACAGCATAACTCTCAGACATAGACACACACAGCATATCTCACAAAGACACACACAGCATAACTCTCAGACATAGACACACACACAGCATAACTCTCAGACATAGACACACACAGCATATCTCACAAAGACACACACAGCATATCTCTCAGACATAAACACACACAGCATAACTCTCAGACACAGACACACACACAGCATAACTCTCAGACATAGACACACACAGCATATCTCTCAGACACAGACACACACAGCATAACTCTCAGACATAGACACGCACAGCATAACTCTCAGACATAGACACATACAGCATAACTCTCAGACACAGACACATACAGCATAACTCTCAGACACACACATCATAACTCTCAGACATAGACACACACAGCATATCTCTCAGACATAGACACACACAGCATATCTCTCAGACACAGACACACACAGCATAACTCTCAGACATAGACACACACAGCATAACTCTCAGACATAGACACATACAGCATAACTCTCAGACATAGACACATACAGCATAACTCTCAGACACAGACACACACAGCATAACTCTCAGACATAAACACACACAGCATAACTCTCAGACATAAACACACACAGCATAACTCTCAGACATAAACACACACAGCATAACTCTCAGACATAGACACATACAGCATAACTCTCACACATAGACACGCACATCATAATCCATGGACAAGAAATATTGTGTTCTTGTGGCTATAAAGGAAATAATGTTGTGTTGTATAACAGTCGCTGCACCTGGTGATGGGCGGGGCTCCCTCCGGACCAGCCGGCACAGGCAAGACTGAGACCACCAAGGACCTGGGACGTGCCCTGGGCATGATGGTCTACGTATTCAACTGCTCCGAGCAGATGGACTACAAGGTAGGTTCACTTTCCTCCATACTCGTCTCCTGGGTACAGCTAGCGCCCCCATCATAACGCACTAACATTTTAGAGTGAGGATTCCTCCTTTGGCTTGGCGACAGCTTTTAAACTGACTAACTTATATAAAAGTTTCCTGCTACATCTCGTCCTCACAATGGCTTTATGGTTACTGGTTGATTTATAAACGACGGATATTAACTGTACACAATTATGATAATGTACATCTTTACTAGTCATGCGGCAATATCTACAAGGGCCTTGCACAGACGGGCGCTTGGGGCTGCTTTGACGAGTTCAACAGAATATCGGTGGAGGTGCTCTCCGTGGTGGCGGTCCAGGTGAAGTGTGTACAGGTGAGATGCCTTACAAGTTAGTGTTCCACTAAACATTTCCACTTAGGTAATCAATTTTCAGTGTAATAACGAGCTTAAATTAAACCTTATCTTATGAAGCTTCTCTCTATTGGATTGCTTCATTTATATAATTTGTTTCACTAAGGTTAAAGTTTCTGTATTTTATAAATTTCTTTAAATTTTCACTTATGGCTATATATATAGCCATAGGTATAATATATAAGTATAATATTTTTTTCTATCCTCTTCTTGACTGTAATAAATTACACATTACTTTCATCCTAGGATGCTATTCGGAATCGCAAAAAGGTATTCGATTTCATGGGAGAGTCCATCCGCCTGACTTCGACAGTTGGGATCTTCATCACCATGAACCCTGGCTACGCCGGTCGCACCGAACTTCCAGAGAACCTCAAAGTTCTCTTTAGGTCAGTTGTTGATCAAACCAGAGGAGTAAATAATGGAAGGGAAGGAGTGGTTAGTAGAAAGTGAAAAGTAGAGGGATCGAGATTGAGAATAATATTCATGCAGAATAACAGACGTAAGAAAAAAATATTTGATATATTTTTCCTGGGTTAATATAAACTGAGGAAACTACTTTCAGCTGACATCAGCACAATCATCACGAGTATATTTATAGATGGTACAGTTTGACTTTTTAACAGGCCGTGTGCCATGGTGGTGCCAGACCTCGAACTCATCTGCGAGATCATGCTAGTGGCCGAGGGCTTCATCGAGGCCAAAGTTCTGGCCAGAAAGTTCATCACCCTCTACCGTCTCTGTAGCGAATTGCTCTCCAAACAGAGCCACTATGACTGGGGTCTGAGGGCCATCAAGAGTCTTCTGGTGGTAGCTGGCTCCCTCAAGGTGGGTCGTTGTTTAGAGGGATCCTCAAACTCATGCTTTCCTTTAAAGTAGTTCATCTAGATATTCTTAACCTTTCGTTCAATTACTGTAAGGTGTGCCGAGATATTTAGGTCCTCGTCATTCATTCCGTGGAAGTTATTGGCTGTTTTCTTTCTTTGTCGCATAGTCGAGTGAAGGTCCTTAGCAGAGAATTTATAATTATTATGAACAGTGATTCCTGTTATTTATTCTATTTATTAATACTCTTGAATTTTGTTTCTTAATTTATGATGATTGTTTTTGTTTGTGTTATAGCGGGACGACCCAGAGCGGCCGGAGGACCAGGTGCTGATGCGGGCTCTCCGGGACTACAATGTGCCCAAGATTGTCACCGACGATGTTCCCGTCTTCATGGGCCTAATCGGAGACCTCTTCCCTGCCTTGGATGTCCCTCGCAAGAAAGATCTCGACTTTGAGAAGGCCGTTAAAGAGGCTGCGGTAGACCTGAAGCTGCAACCAGAGGATAGTTTCATTCTTAAGGTGCGGGAGATATTTGGATTTGCATTAGTTTGAGATAAGAACTCGTGTTTTAGATGGTTTTTGCAACTATATTTGAATATAGTTTTGGTCAGTGCGTAGAACGAAGAATGCTTCAAATATATATTTTGCAACTTAGCTCCATGTTGACAGATTTAAATTATTTTTTTTGCCCCAAGGAGCGAGTTTATTGGGCAGTGCCACTGATCTTGTGAGTGGACATACCGCCGTAGCAGCATGTGCAACACTCCCCAATAGGAAGAAAACCCGCTGGGATGTTCTTCCTATTGCCAGTCAAAGTTGTTGCTATTGTCAATGAGTGACAGTCAACCATATAAAATCATGTCCATGCGCAGGTAAAAGCTCTATATCTCCGGGTACAGTCCTTGCACCACTGCTTTTCCTTATTCTCATATCAGATAAAGACAAAAATGCAAGTCACTGCTTCGTATCATCTTTTGCCGATGACACAAAAATCAGCATGAAAATTACCTCTGCTGAAGACATTGAAAATCTTCAAGCAGGTATTAATAAAGTTTTCGATTAAGCAACAGAAAATAACATGGTGTTTCATGTTCGACCGATGTATAGTTGGACGTTTCAGATCGACCACACGTATAGTTTCTAAATTAAGCAACTGACATATATGGCTCTTCTTGCATGATAGTATGATGATAGATGAAATTACTGGTGTCAATTTTACTTTGCCTCAAAGTTACAAGATTTTGTTGAAGGTATTTTGCCCTTAGATTGCTTATTGACAATCTAACTTTAATTTGATCCCAATCTTAATTTCTACTTTAAAGGCAGATTTTTTGGCTAGCTCATCAGCTCTATCATGCGTTCGGAAGCCAACATGAGATGGAGTCAACATGAAATGGACTCTGTTACCATCATTAATAATTTTGTTGTATTTGTGTCTAACTTCAGACACGAGCAATTTACAGTTATAAAGAGTTGAGAGCAATAAATGATAAAAAGTCACTTACACTTAATGTATCAAGTTTGGAGACTTGTACACATTTCAGTGCAAGAAGCAAGGCAAACAGTTCGGTTTGAAGGGTAGAGGCCCAGTTATTTATACGGACTCCCCACTCAAAATATTAGCCATTGGGGATGAGTCGGCCACATGTGGAGGATTGGGTAGTGAAGGGAAGGCACGTAAGCTTGCATTTAGTACAGCAGACATGAGGCAGATATTGCGTTCCCAATCAGATATATGATGAGACTATAGTGTTGAAAGAAAAGGACACCCGTGAATTCTTGAGTGTTAGAAATAATATGAGTGACCTTCGCCCCACTCATGCACCACCTGCCCGCATAGTTCACGCACAATCTCCCCCACCAACTTTGTTCCCTGCGTCCTTGCCTCGGGGCCTAACCTCACGCCCACCGTCATACCTTGCCAACCTTAAGAAAACCTCTCATTCATGAAGTGCAGGAATAATATAGCTCGCCCTGAAGGATGGCAGACGCTGCTCCAACCATACAGGACCGTTGCAGTCAAGAAAACCGTTTAGTAAACAATGTCCCCAAAATACCATGCCAGGTTTGTGGCAAAGATTCCTTTCAAACGATAGGACCCTAAACACACAGAAATCACACTAACGTGAAATATATAAATGACAAAATCCACTAGAGCTGTGATGAGGAGCGAACCTACGACCCCGCATACTCTACCACTAGACCACCATGACTTGCATAGTCATACAAACGGATTTCTTCTGAAATCATAGGAAGTCTGTCGATGGTACCTTATGTAAACGTAACGTATGTGAGAGCTCTTGGATGTTATAGAGGAGGCTCACAAGTCCCTCAGACAACCCACACTTCTCACCAACTTTCCTGTCTTAAGGTTACCTTTTGGTGGCACTCACAGCAACCACCACCACAACTCTCTCTCACATTCCAAAGGCATTGTCCACATTTGCTCCAGGAAAATATACCAGCCCGTACTAGTACTTTCTATACAGCCTATACCAGTACTTTATAAAACTACAAAGTACAAAGTACTTATTGGGAAACTCATTAATTATTTGGTGGAAAGTACCAACATGTAGTGATGGACAACCACAACATTGACTTTTACTATTGAATTTTGACAAATCTCAAACTTTTTAACTGTAACATAAATATAAGACCCAAACTAGCCTCTCCTAGCAATTCTACGCCTATTACACGCTATCCTAGGCCAATTATAGTACATATATGTCGCTTATTATGTCTGAGAATAGTTAAGTTTGGTTTCTTTGCTTCATTTTTCCAGACTCCGTTAAACGAATATTACAAAAGAGGTTTACTGGAGGTCCATCGCTACATTTTGGTACTGTCTACCAAATATATAATATAAGTACTATAATTTCAGGAAGATGAACTCAACTATCTTGTCAAATACCTTGACAAGGAAGTTAAAGAACGGTCTATTAATCTCGATGCCTCAGCCACCATCATTCAAATCACTATTTGCTCTTGTTTAGCAATATTTGTTTAGGGGCAAATCACCAAAAACTGAACAGTTGTTCACATGGAAATTACTTTTAAAATAAAAAAATAGAGATGGTAATACTTCCTCCTGATAAAAGTTTCAGCCCCCTAAGATAAATATTAAAATACAGAGAAATCACATTATCGTGATATATCAATGAGTATATCCACAGGAACCGTGATGAGGATTTAAACCTATCCTCAGCAAGGCTCTTGTGGATTTTCTTATTGATACAGCACATTAATGTAATTTCTCTCGCTATTGAACGAGGGGCGTCAGAATTACTGGACGGCAGAACTAGGTACATGGGGGATATGTGTGACTCCCTGGTTCGGCTTCAGTGGAAGCCTTTGGAATCCCCGAGGGTGCTGTAGTACCTCAGGTTGCAATTATTTTGACCATGTCGTTGCGTAGGCTTTTAGAACAGGCATCTGGGAACATCCAGCACATAGGTTCGAATTCGCATCATGGCTCCCGTGAATTTTCTCATATATATTATAAAAAAATTATTCAAAAACAATTTTTAAAATGAAGATCATATACAAATTTTATCCGGATTTATATAGACTGCACTAAGATTGTAACGGGGGGGGGGGGGGTTAAATAGCTCCCTCTAGTCCATTATTCCACTCCCCAGTTAACTAACGAGGTCGGGGGAAACAGCTCTCTTTAGTCCGTTATCCCGTCCTCAGTTAGCTAACTATTCTAGAGCACCCCAGAGTTCCTAAGGCAACCTCTCTCGTTCAACACCTTGTAACCCAGGTATTCTATTACCTAGGTGCACTGACTACAAGGCGCCGTAACTTGATCAGCTACCCGAAACTCTAGAGAACTCTAGAACACATTTCACTGCCACAAACGTATAAGAGAAACGAAAGGAAAGAGATGAATAATGAAGTAATTAGTGAGGGTTTGGGGTGAGAGAGGTAGAGAGGTGGGAGGAGCGAGGAGGGTCATCAGTAGAAAGGGAGAGTTTGGAGAGGGGTGGAGGGGGAGAGGAGTAGATAGGTAGAAGTAGAAAAGTAGATAGTAGAAGTAGAAGAAGAAATGCTGCCACCATCCATTCATTTGTCAGTACCTACAAGACAAGGAATGGAACTTGTCTGTATCACAATATTCTCAAAGATGTTATCACGAGGTCATTATTAGTATGTTCCATCTGTATCATGTACTCATTAAAATCATGAAACCAGTAACTGCAAAGGCTTTCTCATCTCAACTCAAAAACTCTAGGGAACAAAGTTAAAGACAATTTAAACAATAAATTCATCAATTATATTTCACATGATAAGTATCATAATTTAAGCAATTCAACTTAATGTTCAAGATTAATATGCAAAGTGAGTCATCATCCAAGAATTCGAGAACCCTACACCTGTCTGCTCCTGATCATCACACAACACTTGTAAACACGACTAAGTCACCTTTCATGCTCAACTCACCAAGTGTCTGCCTATAGCTGGATAGAGAGGAAGGGGGGGGGGGAGTCTGTAGTTGACAGAGACTGTCCCGCCCCGCCGGCTGACAGCCTCCCTGGCTAGGCTGTCCTCTGTTCTGCTCTGCTGGCGGTTCTCCTATTGCTTGTCCTCCTATGCTACAGCTCCCTCAGTATATATTGGGAAACCTAGTAGCTAACTCTGCCCACAAGTAGATAGCTGCAGGCTCTCTACCAAACCACTCCTTAAACATCAGCATGTTTGAAGGCTATCAGGCTACAATTATCAGATTAACAGAAGCAAGGTGAATTTCGCATGAGCTGGCCTCAGGTCAACTTGAGGTCATTAACGCTTAGAGTTGTGAGTTTCAGGCCGACAGACTGGCGCCTCTCAAATCTTGCCTGGCTTGACTCATGTATATCTTGAGGTTATCTTGAGATGATTTCTGAGCTTTAGTGTCCCCGCGGCCCGGTCCTCGACCAGGCCTCCACCCCCAGGAAGCAGCCCGTGACAGCTGACTAACTCCCAGGTACCTATTTACTGCTAGGTAACAGGGGCATTCAGGGTGAAGAAACTTTGCCCATTTGTTTCTGCCTCGTGCGGGAATCGAACCCGCGCCACAGAATTCCGAGTCCTGCGTGCTATCCACCACTATCCACCTATGTACTATATATATTTAAATAAACTAAACAAAACACCTTTACGGTGTTACAAGATATCGTAAGAGCACCTAGTGTTGATTTTATCCACAATATTCAATATGTCTTGTTGTAGTAAACAAAAATATTTTCTGGCGACCACAGCAATTATGCACCAAATTTATGCATTTGAAAATTTCTAACACTAAGATTTCTGCATTAAATTTAAAAATTTATTGGAATTAAAGTCACTCTGCAAAATTCTAGTGGCTTTACAAGACTGACATTGTAGAGGTATGTACATTCTGCATAAATAAATATAATCTGTTGATTGATGAGAATTGCTTGAAAATAAGCTGGCGACTAGTTTGCAGTTTTTAACAAAAATTATGCGAAATTTTAAAGTCATATATTCTGACAATCATTTGGAGCACTTCTAATCTACTGATTTCCTTCTAACTTCCCGTACATATAGCTGGGTATGTGTATTCTAACATGGCAAAGGTTCGGCAAAATATCTCATGAAACTAAAGAGGAAAAAATC